CAAGGTAAACATAGTTCCGTTTGACAGTTCATTCACTGACTATTTTAGCAGCACCACCAAAGAAAAGAGCCTTAGATCATTATAAAATGTTTTCTCTCTACCCTGTTCAAGGGTGTGAGGTTCCCTAACTCAGAAATAGTACAGCTGCACTTGAAATATAGTAAATAAAGTAACAGGAAGTTACAGTATATAAAACACCAACATATTTTACGCAATATATAAAAATCTATAACTAAAAAAAGGTAAAAACAAATAGTAAAACTCATGTAATGTATCTAACTTATATGTGCATATATATATATTGTACATATGAATACTGTATATGTCTGTATATGTACGTACTGTATATATGTGTTTATGTATATACTGTATCTAGATACACATGTAGGCACATATATGTATATATATTTGTATGCATATATGTATGTGTATATACATATATGTGCATATGTATGTGCATATGAACACAGAATATATGTCTGTAATGTACATATATATGCGTATATATTTAAATATGTATGTACATATGAATACAGAATATATGTCTGTAATGTACATATATATGCGTATATATTTAAATATGTATGTACATATATATGCGTGTATATCTTTATATATGATTGTATGTATATGAACACTCCCAAACACACTGTTTGAGGTGGTTGGCAAAAATGAGCTAAATTGTCTTTTCTCATGATGATAAAACTTCACAGATTTGTGTATTTTGAGTTTTACCGGCCTCACGTTCTACACCTGTTCCTCTGTGTGTTCCCCTACATCTCCAGATGATTGTAACTGACATCTACAATCACCGCTTCCATCGTATTTTTGCCACCAACGAGAACCTCAGCAGCATCATGGAGAGAGATGACATCTATGTGTGAGTGTCAAACTTTGGCTGAGTGTAGTTCTAGTTCGCTCACATTTCTACTACGAACTACAGACTGTGTGACGTTGAACAATTTAAATCCATATTTAAATTGTCCGTCTTCCTGTTTTTGAAGCTTCATTCATCCACGTTACCGATGTAAGTAGAGTGTAATTTGAAAAGCTCTGTCTCTGTGTCCTTTTTTTTAATTTCAGATTTGAGGTGGCGGTCAACAGGATGGAGGACACGGAACACGTGGTGATTCCGGTCCACCTGAGAGAGAAGTACAAACAGTCGGGCTACAACCACACCAGCACGCCGCTGTTTGGACAACCGTTCCTCATCGCTGTGCCTAGGACCCTGAGTGAAGACAAACTCTATAACATGCTGCTCTTGCGTCTCTGGTAGGTGAAGTGGTGAAGTGTCTCCGTGATGCCAGTGAATTCTGGTCAAATGTTACAAGAAGCTGAGAAACAAAATATACGTATATATATTTATTTATTTTTTGTGGCCACAGCCGGTTTGTTCGTTCTTCATTGGAGGAAGAAGAGGAAGAATGTGAAGAAACACAGCCATCCAAACAACACACTGTCAATGGGAATGCCACTAATGGACTTCTGGAGGAAGGCTCTCCAAGTGCGTGTGTGTTCTCCAGTCTTCCTAACCTCTGACCTTTTGTCAAATAGAAATTTTAAAAAGAAATCATGTAAAAAAAACTACCTAATTTTAAAAAGAAATCATGTAAAAAAACTACGTTTTTTGTCCTCTAGGTGAAATGGAGACCGACGAGCAGGACGACGAATCCAGTCAGGATCAGGAGCTGCCCTCCGAGAATGATAACAGCCAATCGGAGGACTCGATGGGCGGAGACATCGAACTGGAGAACGGCATGGTTGGTGGTCCACAGAACTCCAGCAAAGGCCAGCAGACGGCTGAGAACAACAGCCGCAAGAGACTTTTTACATTCCAGTTCAACAACATGGGCAAAACGGACTTCTCCCTCATCAAGGAGGACACCAGGCAGATCCGCTTTGACGAGGGACACCTCCGGCTCAGTGGTACGGACCGGGAACCTGCAGGAACATTTGTTTTAGAAGAAGAACACAGAGCGTCTCGATATCATCAGTTTTATGTTTCGCTGACTTTCCAAGGACGTACTTCAACTGATGGATGAAATATACGTGTATAATTAAAGTAGTAATTTCATAAGTGACAGAATAAATCACTCTGGCTAGGAATTGAAGAGTGAAGAAAGATGATGAGATTATGGCCGACTAATCTACGCATCTGCTTTCCACAGACCGCTCCTACCTCTCCTTGGACTGGGAACCTGAGATGAAGAAAAAGTATTTTGACGAGACCGTTGTTGAGGTAAAGTCAGTATTGCGTTTTTTTTTTTTGTTTTTTTTTTTTGAAGAATTCTCCTAGGCTTTCATCTAGTATTACACATTCACTGAGTCAGAGAGGCTGCATATCGCTTTAAGCACATCACGTACAGCCTGGGAGTGGACGACAGAGTGGAGTCTGCCAAATGTTTTCATGTAATGAAATATGGCAACGTGACCCAGACCGGAGCGACAGGGCCGCGAGATTAATTTCTGCAGCACACGCTGCATCCTTTCAGAATATCTAATCTCCAGTCAGGACATGACAGGATGAAGTCTTCTATACCTCAAATATACCTGAGTCAGAACCACAGGTTTTGCCTCGTGTCATTGAAAAAAAAAAAAAAATCCTTTGAACAGATCAGATAATTTTCCTGCATCGACTTTTTGTTCTGACCAAAATGATGTGATGCTGCGTGTGTTCACGTCTGTGTGTGTCTCTGTGACTGAACAGGACTTTGACAAACACGAGAGCATGGAGTACAAGCCTCAGAAGAAGGCCTTCTTCAAGCTGAAGGACTGCATCGAGCTGTTCACCACTAAAGAGAAACTGGGAGCGGAGGATCCATGGTGAGAAACTATCTTGATATTTCACGATACCGTATCGATATTCCATAACATTTAAAAAAAAAAAAATAACATAATAAATAAATAATAAGTAACCTGCGGATTGTTAAACCAGCCACCTGCGTCATTATTCACTTCCTCACCCGTGTGTGTGTGGTCCCACAGGTACTGTCCAAACTGTAAGCAGCACCAGCAGGCCACGAAGAAGTTGGACCTCTGGTCCCTACCGCCGGTACTGGTGGTCCATCTGAAGCGCTTCTCGTACAGCCGTTACATGAGGGACAAACTGGACTCCCTGGTCGACTTTCCACTGAGGTAAACACAGAAATAAAGAAGAAAACAAACCCCAAAACCATTCAATTTCAACATTAGTCGACATTACTTTGTCTTGCCAAAATTCGCATCAGTGGATGTCACAGTCACACAATATATGTATATATGTGTATATATATAT